TTTATTGAGAAACAACAAAATCAAGTAATACAAAGCCACTTTTCATGCAAAATTATTTCAGCCTATAAATTTTAAGAGCTGTACTTCCTACATATATTGTGTCCTTTATACTGTGGTTAAATTACATGATTCATCTGATGCTACTGTTAACTGACAACACATTAACTATAACTTAAAAGGCATCCTCTGATCAACTCATTATTCCTCAGATTCAATGAGAGAAATGTCCAGATTAGTTGATAGACTTAGAAGAAGACAAAATCTTAGAGATAACATTTTTAAAACAGTCTGGGCAACTGAGTAAAGACCAGTTCTACTCACTTATGCTGTGGCTACTTCTGAAACAGCCATGTGCCTCTTGCAAAAACTGCAAAACCAAACAACGAAACACACATGCTGCTCTCGAAATTAAGAGCTTGTAAACAAGAGTATCAGCTTCCTGCATGAGTTTATATTCTTAATGGTTTATGAGAAAAGCATAAAAGACTAAACTCTGAAATACCTGCTTGGACTTTTTTCTTCAGATAGAGCATTTAAAGCAATCACAGAATATCTAAGGATTTTACACTTTTTGCTTCATTAATCTTTAATAGTTGAAATGAAAGAACATCTAGAACTGGCTTCAGCTGAACTCATAAACTGAATTGAAGTGAGGGATTCATTTGACCAGTCTTCTGACACCTACAATTTGGACGTTTAGCTGGATGCTCCTGCTTAGGGAGGCAGAGCTCCCTCTCTAAGCAAAAAAGAAAAAACTTCCAGAGCAAGTCTAATGCCAGTTTTCTCTGACACTACCATATTCTCAGAAAGAATAATAAGGCTACAGGCAAGTGAAAACTAGCTGCTATATATAAGCATGGTATGTTTATCAAACACTGTGCCTATCCACTTTCTCTTCCATCAGAACAGTATTCCCTATCTCTAGAACTTCTTGGATGCAATCTCTTCATATGTTGTTTTGTTTCATGTTGTTACAATACACTGACACAACGCTGAAATATCTGTCATTCTAAAGAGTTCCTATTTATCAGACAATATGATTTACAGCTCTTTCATCATTTAGATACTAAGAACATATTCAATAACTATTGTCGTTAGTTCAGATTTTTTTTCTTTTTGAAGATACCCTTAACTTTGTCAAGAATCCAGCCTCTTGTGACAGTATCTTATTACACTGAAAGCAGAACTGCAAATTCAGCTGGAAATAGACACAGTCAATATGCCTTTCTGAATGCAAGTTGACATTTTCAAGTAAATCAAAAGCTAATCTTAAAAATGTTCACAATCATTACCTTTTATATTGGAAAGTTTTATATTGGAAAGTCGGCAACTTGTGTTGGCACTGGGGACAGAGCAGTGTTTCAAAATATAAAATTGAAAGATGCTATTCAGTGAGAAATGTCACATGAACTTTGGTTTGGTAGCTGAAGAGATGCTAACTACTTACATTGAACATGCAGTACTACAGTAGTCATTGACAAAGAAGATATGTGATACATGAAGAAAAGTGAAAAAAAGCAGAAAAAAAAGTGAAGAAAAATTGTGAATCCTATTTGTTTATGTTAAAATATGCAGCTATTTCTGTTACTTGTTCTCTTCTCACACTTCCTTCCATCTGTTGGTTTCTTTTACATGCTCTGCCTAGTCACATTTAGATTGTATATACTCAAGTGTGGAAACTCTTTCTTACGTATGTCTAGCACTCAACTATACAGGCCCCTCACATGGACAGAGGTCTGAGACATCTAGCTAAAAAAAAAAAAAATCATTAATCATACCGCTTAAAGGGTTAAAGAAATTCATTCTTGCAGCCTCTCTTTAGTCTTCGGAGCCAACTGGCATGTGCAGCTCTTGACATGGGCTGCTTTAAAGAGAACCATTTTTCTCTCTTCAGAACCATTGTTCTTAACTATACTCCTATAATATTTAGTCTTTTAAATATATAAATAACTTGAATATGAAATATTTTGAACCAAGAAGCTCTTAAGTTTTGAATCAAACCAGCCAATATGTTCAGCCGATATACCATATAAAAAACTGTTCAACGAAGGAGCCAATAGCATGCCAGAAACATTTAATACGGTACTTACACAACAGCCATGGAAATGTAAATGAAGTCAAAATAGATGTGTGTCCTGGTTTTGACTAGAACGGAGTTTACTTTCTTCCCAGTAGCTGGTATGGTGCTGTGTTTTGGATTCAGGATGAGAATAACGCTGATAACGCACCGGTGTTTCAGCTTGCACAGAGCCAAGGCCGTTTCAGCTTTTGGTGCTGCCCTGCCCACGAGGAGGCTGGGGGTGCACAAGGAGCCAGGAGGGGACAGAGCCAGGACAGCTGACTCCAGCTGGCCAGAGGGATGTCCCAAACCACATGGCACCGTGCTGGAGGATACAACGGGGTGAAGGGGTTTGGCTGGGAGGTACTGCTGCTCAAGGTCAACCTGGGCATCAGTCAGCGGGTGGTGAGTAATTGCATTGTTCATCACATATTTTGTATATTCTTTTAACATCATTATTATTATTTTCCCTTCAGCTTCTATCCTTTTAAACTGTCATTATCTCAACCCACTAGTTTGTGGGGTTTTTTTACATTTTTTTCTTTCAATTCTCTCCCATCATCCCACTGGGATCAAGGGAATGGCTGCATGATGCCTGCCAGGTTAAACCACAATGATGTGAAAATGCATGGTTATCTGGCTTATTTAAGCACTCACGAGGATTTTAAATGGAGCAATGGAATGCTTCTGCCCATGCTAGTAAATACAATAAACATATTTCTTTCCATTAGAACCTTTAGATTCTATTTCTACGGTGTCTTTAATTTAATATTAAATTAAATATTACAAATATCTCTTCCTCATCTAAAAGACCTTAGCAGAAGGTGACTCATATCATCCACTTCTGAAGTAGGCCTAAATACGTACTACCTTTAAAAACTGCAGTGTTGCTTTATTCTCTGAAAGACACATACATGCTTCTATGAATGAAAGACAACTTTCAATTATCTAGAGGTGTGGGTTAACAAAGAAAATATATTTTATTAAGCTTCTGGTGGACATAATCTACTATTAAGTCTATTCTTTCTGTTGATCAATAGAGACCTGACTCTTGGAAATAAATAAAAGGGATAAACAACTGTATAAGTGCATATGTCCAGAAGTACCTCTATTTTATTGGATTAACAACTGTAAAAAGAAATCCAAGAGCAGGCAAAACATGATTAAGTGTCTGATAATTTAAAGTGAATAATTACTGCTTTATATGATTTTTTTTGCTTTAAAACACATTAAGTCACCTTGATGATATACATAAAGTAAGAATAAACATTTCTTCGTAACATAGCCTGTCTTTGGTGTTAGAACTCAATGTGCTACTAATCAAGATAAACAAGACTATTTCACAGCGAAGCAGAGAAGGAATTCCTCAAGTATCTACTCTGTACCTCTTTTGTAGTTCTGTCATTCACATAAATTCAGAAATATTTGACACCTCCATAAGTATCTACTGAAGAATCAAAGGAAAATGAGGAGTAAAATAATACAAACAAGGAGACACATTTCACATCCACCTTGTTCCAGTCTGTCAACATTTCCAATTTTCCTTTAATTCCAGAGTGACTGAAACAAAGCTTAAAAATCAAGGAGTGAAGAAAACGTAATTCCCACCTTCTGAAAATGTGGCAATTTCTGAAACGCTATTTAACAGAAACATCTCTCCCTTCCACTTGAAGTTTGTTTTTCATGAACTCCAGTTCATAAAGTTTCCCTTGGAAGTAGCAAAGTATTCAGAGGTGAAAGCATTAGTACAGAATGCTTGGCTTCTTTTTTGAAACAGTTAAAGACAAAGTCAAAAGAAAATATACCCATCTGCTGGTCTCTGAATGGGAGGGTCATTTTGTTTCTTTCTCACTGTTCTGTTGTAAGAAAAGAGGAAAGAGCTGGAGTGTAGCTGGCTGTTGGAAAACACATCCTTTGAACATCATCCAGCATGCAACTGCAGACAGACCCATGGAAGCAACAGGCTGAAATAATTCTTGACACAACTGTTTGCTCTTGTACCAGATAACATGGCTTGTAGATTCTACTGTGATTTTTGCCCATGTAAATATTAATAAAGAGCTCTTCATTTTCTTATAGCACTGCCACCAAGATAGAGAGTGCATGTATGCCCTGAATAATGAGATGGCAGAAAATGCTTTTGCATTTTACAAAAAACTAATGAAGACAGCCAGACATTCATTTCATTGTTTCTGCATATTGTCAGAACTGTATGGAACAGGAACTTTATAGAAGTGCTTTTTTTTTTTTTTTTTTTTTTTTTTTCCCAGTGATATCAATCTTCAAGCCTTATTTAGGATATTAGGATTGGAGGGGGGAGGGTACCTGCTTTGATGTATGATATTTGTCAAACACTTCAACACATTTGCATTTTTTCCCCCAGGTAACCTCAGAAATTTACTTGTTAAGCTCAAACCGGGGAAAAAGCAAATATATTCCAGCAAGATTTTATGAAACAAGTATGAAAGCTTAATAGAGGTATAGTAGCTGTGAAGCACTGGGAAGATCTACAGAATCAATTTTTAATATCAAATACTCTGGTTGCAGAGATGCATACAGTAACACACACAAAAAAAAAGGATGCTTCCATCTATTTGGGAACAAGAGTATGAGAGATTCACAGGGACTAGAATGAAAATTTATTTTAACACAAAGAACAAGGAGTTCTAAATATTTGTTCTAAAGGAGTTCTAAATATTAAACAATCTAAGTGTTTGTTAAAAATTTAAGACGTATTTAAATATCCCCCCAAACTTCACTTTTTAAAAGTAAGAATTTCAAAACAAGAAGCAACAAAATAGTTGAATGCATGGAAAAGAATCCAATAAGGAATATTGCCATTTCAGACACATTTTATTCATTAATCATTGCCCCAGCTATCGAATGTACTCCACTAAATGTAATTTTAA